GAAAAATTCGGGGGGAAAACGTTTTTTCCCCGTTTTTTCCCTGAAGCCTTTTTTGGTTTTTTTCTGAGAAATTGGAAAAATTGAGAAAAGAAAAAAAAATTGATTATGGAACGTTTTATTTTAACATGATGAATAAAATATTTTAAGACAAGGTGTTCAAATATTTTCCAATTCATTTCATATATATATATGGTATCAGATTGATCTAATTTCTGTGCACTGAGGACAAGCAAGTCCTAGGTTACAAACTGAACTCTCCAATGCAAGAACAAGATCCATTTCTTCCTTTAGGAGGTGCTATTGTCAGAAGAAAATAAAAAGGTTTCAGTTTTGTTTTTGCATGTGGGTGGGTATTCTGTTTGTAATAATTGTTTGGATACACTATATTTTTAATATGCTAGTTGTGATGATTTCATGCCAAGTAAAAATGTCCATAGTCATATTTTATGTTCCTAAAGTAACAGAATTACTTTCAATCTAGAAAAGACAAAAGAGATGCTAATGTAGCATTTTTTTTCAATTTTTCCAAAAATTTCTGGGTTTTTTTTTCCAGAAAAAACTGGGGGGAAACCAGGGTTTTTTCAAAAAATGGAAATTTCCAGAAATTTTACATCTCTACTCACAGTCCGAAGTGACCTTCAGGAAACAACCTTCCCAAGTGGGCTGGGGCCCAATTCAGATTAGGACTGTGGTAGGGGCACAGGGACTTCAGACTTCCGCTGTGCCCCAAAACGGCCCTGTGGGGCTCTACTTGTCAGATCGCAGAGCTGCATATGTGGCAGAACCCAGACCCGAAATGCCAAAGCGTCTTAGTGTCTACTTTGATTCAGGTGGGGGTAGCTGTGTTGTCTGAAACAGCGGAACGAAGTTGAAGTCCAGAGGGCACCTTTAAGACCAACAAAATTTTATCCAAGGTACAAGCTGTTGTGTGGAAGCGCACTTCTTCAGATACAGTGAAACAGAATTTCCTCAACCATTACATATAGGTGGCGGGGGGGGGGGGGGGTTTAGTGGCCAGGAAGGGCTAGCTACAAGATACACAAGAAACCAGGCGATTATAGCTAAGGTTGGATTAAGGTGGTAACCAAGATCTTTGAATGACAGTAAATTAGCATACAGATATAAGAGTTAACAAACAGATGTGAGAATGAAGTTTTGAGTCCAGTGGCACCTCCAAGATAACAAACTTCAATTCTGGGTATAAGCCAGAATTGAGAGACTTAGCATGGGTAGATACACACGCTCCTTTAGATACTTTGAAACAGATTTCCTCAAACGTTACATATAGGTGTGTGTGTGGGGGGGTGTTAGTTGCCAGGAAGGGCTAATTAGAGTCAAGGTGCATAAGCAATTGAGCGATAAATATAGCTTCTCACATCGGTTTGTTAACTCTTGTATTTGTATGGTAATTTACTGCCATTCACAACTCTTAAAGGTAAAGGTAAAGGTTCCCTTGCTCGAAAGCCAGTCGAGTCCGACTCTAGGGTTGCGGTGCTCATCTCTGTTTCAAAGCCGAAGAGCCAGCGCTGTCCGAAGACGTTTCCGTGGTCATGTGGCCGGCACGACTTAAACACCAAGGCGCACGGAACGCTGTTACCTTCCCACTGAAGTGGTACCTATTTATCTACTTGCAATTTCTTGCTTTCGAACTGCTAGGTTGGCAGGAGCTGGAACTAGAGACGGGAGCTCACTTCATCATGCGGCAACTCGAACTGCTGAATTACTGACCTTCCACAGCCTGCAGTTCAGCGTCTTAACCACTTGAGCCACCGCAGCTCCTACTCTTACCAACCACCTTAATCTAATCTCAGCTATAATCGCCCAGTTATTTATGCATCTTGACTAACTAGCCCTTCCTGTTGACTAATCCCCCCTCATTTCCTCTCTACCTATATGTAAGGCTTGAGGAAATTCTGTTTCGCTACATCTGAAGAAGTGTGCTTGCACACAAACACTTATACCTTGAATAAAATTTTGTTGGTCTTAAAGGTGGAATCAAGAACCACAAGGGTAAGAAAGAAGTCTAATATAGAGCCAGTACTAAAAACCTAGTTGAAACTTATAATATACAAAAATGCATGTATTTATTAGAAAGGCAGTCAAAAACAAAAGGGGCCCAATGAAAGCCTCATGAAAACGTTCGTGGCCCCAACACAAAGGCCAGTACACATGACCTGATCAAGAAAAGGAAGGTTAAGCAGCAAGATCAATAGGCCTCACAAACATCTTTGCAGCTATCGTATACCCTTGACCGAAGAACGGTACACTCTTATCTGGGACTAGAAATAATGCCCGTTGCGGAAATAAATACAACGGGATCTTGAAAGAGGCTCTGGGAGAGTGCTCTGGCTTTGGGCAAACAGTGTCAGTTTCCTGTGGCGACCTCAGCAGGGTTTAATGACAGAGTCCACTGTTTTCTCCAGAGGGACTGATCTCTGCTACCTGAAGAGCATTTGTATGTTTGAGTTATCTGTAGCCCTCACCTGGAGAGTGGTAACCATTGTTACCCATTCTCCTCTCCCCTATGAGGTATGTTATGCAACTGAAAATTCCAACTGCCTTGCGGGGGGGGGAGTTTGAGGTGTGGAATGGACTGAAGTCCAATCAGCTTCCATATGCAAAAGACCAGGTTGTCGCAGCAGTTGTGGTGTGGGCGGGACCCGGGCTTTGCCTTCTGATTGGTGGCGATATATGCTGAGGAGCAGTGCCATCAGCCATACACTAAGGGAGTGCATTTTAGAATTAGAACTTTGGCACCCACTATTCAATTATATATAAGGAGAGATTGTAGCGTGTACCTCAAACTGTTTGACCTCTGAACTCTGAAGAAGGCCCCCGAAAGGGCGAAAACACGTCAGGTCATGTGTGTTGGCCCTTGCGTTCAGGCCACTTGAACTTTTTAACGAGGCTTTCATGGGTCCCTTATTTGTTTTTAACTGCCTTTCTAATAAATACATGTATTTTTGTACATTATAAGTTTCAACTAGGTTTTTACTACTGGCCCTTTATTAGACTTCTTTCTAACCCTTGTGGTTCTTGATTCCAGTTTTTGGGTCAAGTTTGTTTGTTTTCCCCTCCCGGTGTCTTATGGTCTTAAAGGTGGCACTGGAAGCAAACTTTATCCAGCTAGTTTGAGACTGAGATATTCCAGGAATTCCAGCTGTCACTGAAACATGACTTCCTGAGCCCCAAACAGGGAAATAATTACAGCTATGGTTGGGCAGTATACCAACAGAACCCCCTAATCTGCCCTACATACACACTCTCAAGATTACTATGCATTCTCATAGAAGAAATGGATCAGAGTTGCCCTGTACCATTGTACAGACTGCTATTGATAATACATGGTGGCCCCTTGGGCCTTTGACAACACCCTATCATCTGTTACAGAGTAGATTCCCTGATATTATTTGGAGGACCCTTTTGGAATGCAGGGCTTCTCAGATATCAATAAATTTTGCAAGAAATCCACTTGTCTGCAGGTAACTAGTTTGCAATATCCTATCTGCCTGTCCATGCAACAGTCTGAGTAGTCCAGTTTTTTGGGGGGTTTAGTTAACTGAACCATCTGCTCGGTTTTTTGGGTATGCGTTTGGCTGTTCCATAACACGTAGCAGCAGGGCTATTTTTGGGCAGGAACGCACAGGAACGGAGTTCCGGCTGGCTCCCAAGTTGGCCACGCCCAGCAGGAACTCATTAGCATAACAGGCCACACCCAGCAGTAGAAACTCATTAGGATTGGCTACATTAGGGGTGTGTGGCCTAACATGCAAAGGAGTTCCTGCTACAAAAAAAGGCCCTGGGTTTTGACAACAAACAAGGTAAACAGAATAAGAAGCAAAAGGTGGGTGTGGCTGGATGACCACACTTCTGGTAACATGGGGGGGTGGCCTAATAGGCTAATGAGCTGTGCTGTCAGGGGTGTGGCCTAACATGCTAATGTTTCTGCTGTTGGGTGTGGCCTATTATGCTAATGAGTTCCTGCTGGACTTTTTCTACAAAAAAAGCCCTGCGTAGCAGTAACGTCAACCGTGCCACCTTTAGCGGAATCTTCTGGTAACTTAATTGGCGGTATGGGAAAGACCTGCCATGTCCTGAACCTCAGAGTTAAGACTGGAAAGTCTCGAAAAACCACTAAGTACATGTATCAGTCATGAAAACATACCACTGTGGTTGAATTTAGCCACTTGATGTGGAGGGCGGGCAGACAAGGACACAATACAGAGAGAAGCAAACATTTGGCTGGGCTTTTAAACCAGGGCATCTTTTTTTTTTTACCTTGTTGACGGACGGCTGGGCTGTTTTTGTGTCCCTGAAACTCTTGTTGCTTTGTTAGCTGCCTGGAGTCTGAGGAGATAAGGCGGGATATAAATATTTCAGGTAAATTAATGAATTTAAACTGTATTAAAAACAGAAGATTGTTGCCCTTGGTGACCACAAACTTCATCCTGGCAGTTACTGCAAATGGCATGCTCAGTCATAGGAAGAACAAATTATTATAGCAGCGCCACTTGCCAGGGTGTCTTTTACTGGGAGATGCGGCATGTCATGGTTGCTGTTGCCGCTGCCACCACATACACAGATAGTGGCTCTTTCTTTATAAAGCAGTCGTGAGAGTCTGACCCACAAATCAAGCAGTCAACAAGACTTACAAAGAAGATGCTTTCTGTATATTATGGTCAATAAGCACTACAACACAAAACGCCTGGGATCCATTAGAAATTTAGCAGCATATTTGAGCCTGAATACTTATCGAGATCGGCGTCCTATCTGAATGTATTATCTTTCATGACTTTTTGTAAAGCACTTTATGAGCAAGAGAGCTTTTGTACTACTTTAATATTTCCTGAGGAAGATCCAATTTTGAAACGCTGTTATATAATCCGGACACGACATTGATGATGTATTTTTACACTAGGATTTTCGTATGATTTGAAGGAATTTGTTTTTTGTGTTGTAGTGCTTGTTGACAATAATATACAGAAAGCATCTTCTTCGCAAGTCTTGTTGACGGCTTGATTTGTGGGTCAGACTCTCACAACTGTTTTCTTTACATTTGTTCTCTGATTGGGTCGTGATTGTCCAAACCTGTCTTTCTTTAGAGAACCACCTTGGCTGCACCAGGGACAAAAGAGCTGTCCTTCACAAATGTAGAGCAAGCACTAAGCATCGCTGGCTGCTAAGAACAACCGTTGTGGGTTTTTGGAAGGAACTTAAAAACACCGAGACCTAAATAGACAAGATGGAAGAAGTCGATTATTCCCAGCTTTTTCCACCAGATTTCTTGATGCATCACCAGCCTCAACAATGTCAAGGAAAAGGACTTGTTGTGGTCTGTTTTTCAAATATCTCTCTTTCCAAGCAGTTTGTCAAGCAGACTGCCAATTTGGGGGGATTCCTCCAAAGCCAGTTTGGCTCCAGCATCCTGGAGGAGGAGATCTGGGTGTGTGAGCGTGAAGGATTTCCACTTGCAAAATGTAACTGAAATTCCGGGGGCTGCAGATCTTCAAAAGACTGCCGACCGAGGCTTCACTAATGGCAAACCGTGTCCAAAAAACATGAAGATATTGTCAGAGGGTAGCTCTGTCGGTTTGCAGTATAGGATCAAGATTCGATTCCAGCAGCATCTTAGAGCCCAACGAGATTTTCGGGAGGTAGAAAAGAGCAAGAGCCCAGTAGCACCTTAAAGACTAACAAAAGTTGTGGCAAGGGTACAAGCTTTTGTGAGTCACTGCTCGCTTCTTCTTCTGCATTAGTCTTTAAGGTGCTACTGGACCCTTGCTCTTTTCTGCTGCTTCAGACAGACTAACACAGCTACTGATCTTGATCTATCAAGAATTGGGGGGGGGGTGAGCTTTTGAAAATCAGAGCTCCTCTGACTCCCTATAACCCCCCCCCCCAAATCTTCTTGGTCTCTTAAGGTGCCGCTGGACTCGAATCTAAAAAACAAACAAACATGAATTAAAGTTCTATGCACCAGAAGCCCTTTTTAACTCACAACTGAAATCTGGGAGGACAGGAAGTTACTCCAGAACAGCTCCAGCACACCAGTATATTTCTTAATCTTTCAAAAGCTTTCCATCTTGAATCTATGCATAGAACTTATGCCAAAACCCATAAATACTTAGGTCTAATGATAAGACAAAAAGTAACCCGAGTTACAAAACATATGAAGACAATGAAATTGTAAGTGCTCTACAGCATAATAACATAAGAAGAACCTTAGAAGAGCCCTGCTGGATCAGACCAGGGGTCCGTCTAGTCCAGCATCCTGCCTCACACAGCGGCCGACCAGTTCCCCTGGACAGCCAACAACAGGGCACAGAAGCCAAGGACTTCATAAGAACATAAGAAGAGCCCTGATGGATCAGACCAGTGATCTGTCTAGTCCAGCATCCCGCTTCACACAGGATCCAAACAGTTTCTCTGGAGGACTGACAACAGGGCATAGAGACCGAGGCCTTCCCCTGCCGTTGCTTCCTGGCCCTGGGATCCAGAGGTTGACTGCCTCTGAGTGTGAAGGTTCCCCCCAGTCACCATGGCTAGTAGCCACTGATAAACCTCTCCTCCATGAATCTGTCTAATCCCCTTTTAAAGCTGTTTCTTCCTGTGGCCATCACTATATCCTCTGACAGCGAATTGCACATTTTAATCACGCTCCACATTTTAATCACTCAGCACAAAGCCGAAGCTTGGCTCTCGTCAATGAACTCACAATAGTATATCAAGATCCTCCCACATTTGAATGCCAAAATATTTCCTGCTTTACTTGCAGGTGAGCTGGTGCATCAACAGATCTCTAACTTTTGGAACCAGAACAGTTAACTCTCTCTTTCAGGTCCAGCTTGTAAAGAAACTCCAAGCTACTATCCCCCCCCCACCGCCACGATAAACCATAAAACAGAAATCCCTCACATCAGTGAACACTGGACACGTCCATATTTTATTTTTCATGTCTAGCACTTAAGTATACGGCTTTACCGAGCAACAGGCTGTACTTTAGAGCCATCTTGCACATCACAACAATGCAAGCCATCAAGTTCCCTAAAACCTCCTCTCCCCCTGTTCACCCCACTCTATTTCCCCCCCTCCAGGCCTTGTGACGCCACAGGTGAGAGAATCAAATGCTATTTGCTTGAGGACACTCTAGCTCTGACTTAGATAGCTTTTTGGACCTCAATTGGAAGATGTTCTAATTCAGCAATTGTGCATTTGGCACCAGACAACGTGACTTTCATCTTTTGAGGCCTCACAAACATCTTTGCCTTGTGCCTTTAGATCTTGCTGCTTAACTTTCCTTTTCTTGGTCCAATATTCACTTATTGGTTATCTTATTGTAATATGTATTAAAGTTACGTGTACCTCAATATTGTTTGACCTCTGAAGAAGGCCCCAATAGGGCGGAAACGTGTCGGGTCATGTGTACTGGCCCTTGTGTTTCGGCCACCTTTACGTTTTTACGAGGCTTTCATTGGGCCCTTATATGTTTTTCACTTCTTTCTAATAAATACATGTATTTTTGTATATTATGAGTTTCAACTAGGTTTTTAATATTGGCCCTTTATCAGACTTCTTTCTTACCCTTGTGGTTCTTGATTCCAGTTTTTGGGTCAGGTCTGTTTTCCCCTCCTTGTGTCTTACTACTTAGAGAGAATCAAATGCCTCTTTTGGGTCCTGGTCCACAGTTTGAGAACCGCTGCTTTACATTCTTCTGTTGTCAAACAAGCAGCCGTCACTCCATCCGGCCCAGAAGGTGACATAGGTCGGAACTACCAAGCTTACTTAACGCAGTTCTTTGCAGGCATCTATCAACTCATTTGCCGAGAACTGCGTCCTACTTTAGATGAAGACGTATGCGATCAACCTCCCTTTTAATTACAGCCTTGACAACTGTGCTGCCGGCAAGCTGAGTGGTGTGCGGGAATAAGGAGCAGGGTGATTTGCTGTACAAATGACTCAGGGCGGCTTTCTAGAGACGAGAAGGGTATATGGCCTTGTCCAAATAGGGAGATAGTCATCACGTTTATTTAGCAGTGTGTCATTAACTACTGCAGATTCTCTGCATTAAATAAATCCAAAGCCACCGACAACAGAAAGAGAAATCTGGGAAAGAGAGGAAAGACACCCTGCAGTTTGCAGGGTTTGCAGCAAGCGGCAACTATACAGGCATGGATTGGGCCTTTCGTGTTAGAATCGTCACACAACTCCGCACAAACACACCCCGAGAAAAAGATCTGTGTTATTCACAAGGCCATGCAGGGCTGCAATCACATGCAACAGAAACAGAAAGCAACGTAAAGGTGTAATTTTAGCCCCTGCAAATAGCCTGCATCCAGCTTGGAAAATGCCTGCGTACAGGGCAGGCACAAGGTATTTTTGTCATCTTAAAAGAGGTGCAACTGCCCATTATTTCTTCATGCCAAAGCAAGCCAAGGGCCTAATATAAAACGTTATCCAATGTGGTTTCCTGTTTCAGCAAGAGGTATAGATGAATTACTTCAAGATTTGACTTTTGTGTTTGCTGCGATTTAAATTAACGGAAATTCAGCACAAAAGGCCGGCACACAGTATGGCTTGGGTCCCACCTAAATTTCCACTGGGACAAGGGGAGGAATTACTAACCCCCTAATCCAAGGGTCTCCCAATGTGGTGCCCGTGGCATCCACTGCCACCTTTCCTAGTACCAGCCAAGTGTTTTTAGAAAGTGAGTGAGGGCAGGTGGGACTTTTGCCCAGCAAGGCTACTGACTGGCAACTGTATATTTCAGTGGCTATACAGATTTTTAATCCCAACAAAACAGAGGTGCTGCTGGTGGAGGGAAGGCCTGATCAGGGAACGGGGGTATTTCCTGCTCTGGATGGGGTTGCATTCCCCCTAAAGGAGCAGGCTGGTACCTTCAGGGGGCTGCTGGACCCGGCCTTCCTGTTGAATAAATAGGTGGCAGTGGTGACCAGGAGTGGCCCTCACCAGTTTTGGCTGGTAAGCCAGCTGCGGTCATTCCTGGGGAAGATCTTGCTACTGTGGTGCATGCTTTGGTAACATCTAGACTAGATTACACTGTACATAAGACTGTACATTGAAGACTGTCCAGAAGCTACAGTTGGTACAGAATAGGGATGGGCAAGAACTAGCTCGCGAACCAAATTTTGGCACAAACTTGGGCCAGTTTGGAGTCCCCGAACCAACGTTTGGGGAAGGTGCCTTCCCCGAACATTTACCGGACTTTTGTCTGGTTCGGCTATTTGGGCCATTCAAACCTAACAGTGAAGTGGTGTGGGTCCACACCTGACCTGTTAGATTTAAATAGCTGCCAGCCGTTTCAGTCTAACAGCTGATGGGAGCACCTG